GGCATCAGGGTGGTGGGAAAGAATTTCTTGATAACGTGGACATGGTGCCTTTGTGACGATGCTTCTGTTTCTGCAGAAGGATAAAAAATAGGTGTCATGACAAGGTGTCGGCTGTGATTGAATTATTTTGATGATCAATATTTAATTCTTTCTTTACAGTTCATTTTTAAAGTTCCTTATGAAAACATTTAATTTCTCTGTCACAAAAAATATATGTCCTTCTGGTCATCCTGACAAATTTTGCATCTGAAACTTCTTTCATCAAGTTACATTGATGGGCCCAGACATAGGAAACCTTGGAGGAAGCACCAGCTTGGGACTTGTTCTTTGTGGCCTCAGCTGAATTTTGAATGGAGTGATGAAGTCAGTAAATCAATATTCAGCTGTGTTGGAGGGAGCTTAGGAGAACTGGGGGTTTGTTTATTTGGAAGATTTCCCCAAAACCCCTTTTCTGAAGACTACAATAAACATAAGCTCTGACCCATCAACCAATAAGGTAGAAATGGAAGTTCTCTTAGGGTATGAGATTTTCTTTTTGATTTTTTTTCCTTCAGTTACTTGTTCAGATCTTGTGGACAGTGCTCAGAAATGATGGGATCATTGATTGGGATTACCCTATAAAGTGTCAGGGTAACCATTGGGCCTGTGCTTCAAGGAGATGGGCACAGGGCAGGGAAGATAGAGGAAAAGGATCCATCTGTACAAAAAGAAAATTCTAGATATAGCAGCTTTTTTGTGGTGGCAAAGAACTGGAAATTAAAGGGGTGCCCATCAGTTGGGAATGACTGCAGAAAATATGGCGGGTGAAAGTAATGGAACATTTTGGGCTGGAAGGAATTCCAAAAGACTTGGTTTCAAAGACAGCTGGAAGATTCTCTGAACTGGTACCGAAGAAAATGATCCAGCCAGGAGAACACTTCATGCAGTAAGAGCCGCGTTGTGAAGACAAAGGGCTGTGAAAGGCTCAAAGGCTCCGAAGGACCAATGAAGGGAGCTGTTCCACCTCCTCCCAGACGTGGTGCACGCCATGTGCAGAATGAGCTTTCTATTTCAGAGAAATAAAAAGCTTCAGGTGGCCCTCCCCAAAGTCTTGGAGTAATTTGGAGCTTTAATAATGTCAGTAGCATAAATGCTACAAAGGTTAAAAAGGCAACATCTGAAAGTTTAATTATTTAAAATTTTGAAATATTGATGTATTTCCTATTAAAATCCTACAATTTTTGAGTTTTGAAAAAACTGTAATCAGCTGCTGGTCAGTTACGAAAAGGCTTGTATTTGTAATCCTAGACTTAAGACCATCTAAGGATTTTGATGGATCCATGTGGTTTGGTGTGACTGTGCCAGCAATAGCAGGCGGAGTAGCAGGCTCTGCCTTGTTAAAATCAGAATGAAAATGTTATTCTTCAAAATTTGCAGAGTTGCAAAAGTATAAAATAAATTTAAATAATTTAACTTTCAAGTGATGGTTTTGGTAATTTTGTACTGAGACTTGTCACACTAGACATGTATATATACCTGCGTGTGTGTGTGTGTGTGTGTGTGTGTGTGTGTGTGTGTGTGAGAGAGTGTGTGTGATTCTCACTGCCTCCCCCTTCAGGGTGGGAGAAAAAGTGGGACAAAACTCTTGTAAAAACCATTCATATTCAAGCAAAACAAATTCTGCATTGGCCATATCCAAAAGAGTATCTCATTCTGCATGTGGAGTCCATCATTTCTGTCAGGAGGTGAGATAGCCCTCCATCATTGGTCTTCTGGAGTTATGGTTGGTCATTTATCAGAAAGTGCAGAACAGGATTCTAGAAATGGCCTGAGCAGAAAATACAACCCCAGCCCTGGCGTTGGGCTGCAGCCAGGTCATGTCAGGCTGGATGCCCCGGGTGGGAGGAGCTATTTTAATAGCCCCGGAAAAGACTGATCAGAGCTATTAAGTCTTTCACAATTGAGAGAGTGTATGTGTACACATAGATATACATACAAACATAATAAAAACGTGGCTCTTTTTTTGCTTTTTGTTGAGACAGTTGGGGTTAAATGACTTGCCCAGGGTCACACAGCTAGTGTCAAGTGTCTGAGGCCAGATTTGAACTTGGGTCCTCCTGACTTCAGGGCCAGTGCTCTATCCACTGTGCCACCTAGCTGCCCCTAAAACATGTCTCTTATAGTACATTGATATAAAACAACTGATTGAGCCTGGGTTTGGTGCAAATGTTTCTTCCTGCCTGGCTTAGCTGTGTGGATCATGTGACAGTTGGAAGGCATGCTTTGCTGGGACATTTGCTGCCACAAGCCCGGTTGTGTGTTCTCAGCATCCAGGGGCTGCCTCTATAGAACTGGCAAGAAGGAGAGTGCAAAAGTGATCTGGAATCAATCCGTAAATGTTTCTTAAAGCGCCTACTATGTGCCAGGCACTGTGCTAATAAGCACTGGAAGCCTGTGAGTGTTTGGGTTGATTGATTTTTATTATTATAATTTGCACATGAGAATTTTACAGAACAAGTATAGTGCCATTAAAACAGTTCCTGCTAACCGAGGGCACCCAGCCTGAGGCTGTAGTGCTGAGATGAACTTGCTGCAGCCCGACTTCTGGGGCTGGCGTTGTATTTTCTGCTTAGGCCATTTCTAGAATCCTCTTTTGCACTTTCTATGCTTGCACTGGTTTTTTTCCCCACGTTCTGAGCAGTGCAGTGGATGGAGGTCTGGCCTTGCAGCCGAAACAACCTGGGTTCAAATACTGCCTCTGACACAAACTGGCTGAGCGGCCCTGGGCAAATCACCTACCTTCTCAGAAGGTGCTGCCTTGCTTTCCTCAAGGAAGTTCTCTCACCTAGGCGAATCTTAAATCAAGAAATCCCACATCCATTTCCCAGTTCTCAGTCTGTACGATACCTAGCAAATTTTTGTTAAAGAATTACTAAGTTTTATTCACAAATTTTCTGCTTCATTAATCATTTTACATGAAATTTTAAGTACAAAATATAAAATATCAGTTAAAACTCACAAAACCAAGCCGCAGTGGACAAAGTTACACTTTGAGAGACAAAAACATCTGTCATGTGCATTGCCACTGCTCCATCTGTAAAAGATGAGGTGTAAGCCGTTCTTTGAAACTCCCCAGGGCTGGCCCCATGGGGCCTGGGCAGGCGAGGAGAAGGGCCGACCTTTCCAAGTTGCCAGCACCAGTAGGGGCAGGGAAGGGGAAAGCACATTTCCCTGAAGGTCTTACACACCTACATTGAAATGATGTTCTGCTTGGTTCGTCCATAACTACAGCTCAGCTCAGCCTGCCCCCCCCCCCCACCACCACAGCGTGCAAGAAATGGGGAGAAATCTTCAGGTGCAGTTTTTACCCAGGAGTCCTTTCCCCCGAGGGGCTTTTTGCCCCTCCTCTGATTGTTCCATTTCTAGAATCATTTCTATGCTCTTTCAAGTAACATGAATGATTTTTTTTTTTTACCACACAGCAATAAACTGTAACTACTTGTTTTCATCTTCAGCCATAAAATTGGTGAGAAATCCTTTGTCAGAGGTACTGTGGTTCATGGGGCAAGGAGCGTCTCTCTTGAGCTTTGGTTTGTTGGAAATGATTATCGTCCGAGTCGGAGGCAATTTTCAGGGGTTCCAATGCTTTTCTGCCCTATTGATTGTTGAAAACGTATCAATCAGTAATTCATACTGTTCGAAAAATCTGAAATAAAAGTCTACTACAGTGAGTGAAGGAAAGCCTTTATTACGCTTCTCTTGAGAGAAGCAGGCACAACGCACTTTAGTAGCACGTGGGCACTGGTTCAGTGGTAGAATCAACTTTTAAACCTTTAGTAAGATCCATACTCCACCCAGCAGGGCTTCTCTTGGTCTAGATCATCTGAATTATACCCTTCCTGGACAGTCCATCGCATGTTCGTCCATGTTCTGTTAGCTCCACCCACTTTGTGGGTCCCATGTTAAAAATGGCGGCTATCTCTGCCCTTGGGGTGTGTCAGTTCATATTCAATAAGCTTATTAAGCAAAGGGCAGTGTAGAAAAGCCTTTGCCTGGCAAAGCCCAGTCCTTGAACCTGGCTGGTTTCAACCGGTTTAGCCTCTAGGGCTCTTTCTTAAGAACTAGTTGTTTATAGAAAAGTTTGGAGTGCTTTCTGATTGGTTGAGGAACTATCCACAAGATCCTGGAATTTCTTATCCTGCTGTGGAAGCCTAACCCCCTAAAATCTTTCTTACACGTACCACTTAATGACTTTTCCTGTGACCGTTGGCCATCTCAATTCTGACAGGTGTTTTTCCGTGGGCGAACTTAGTTATGTTGAGGCTTAGAGGTTTAGGGATGCTGGGACCCCAGAATCACAACATGCGGGTCCTGCCCAAATGAATTCGACCCAAAACTTCTTTCAGCCAAAGACAAGGTTTATTAGAACATCCACCATATTGGTCAGACTCTTAAGGAATTTAAGCATTTGAATCGCTAATGCAAATGGGCCAGATCTTAAGAGCCCTAGGCTAGCCTCTTAAAGAATCTCAGCACCTTAATGGAGACAAGATGAATTTTATACACAGAAAGGGATCCAGGAGTGGCCAAGGATTTTGAGGTGACTGGAGGAGGGGTCTGAGGAGGATCGGGATGGGAGTGACCAGTAAGCTGGGGTGGACAGAATGCCTGGGACCTAGGCCACCTGGCCAAGGGAGAGTGGAGTCTAGGATTAAGGGTGGGAAGTGGCCAGGGGCAATTGGGAGATTGGCAGAGCCACAATGAGGGGCCAGTGGATAGGATTGTAGCCTCAGGGGGCCGCCAGAGATTTGGCCAGGTGGGAAGGTCCAGGGTTTTTCCTCTCAGGGGTTCAGATCCCTTCCCTATCAGATCCCCGGCAGTTCTCTCCCAACCCATGTGTGAGGGTGACAGTGTCTTCCGGGTTACTTTTTGATGGTCATGGGTCGCTTTGATCTGTCAATTGATTCCTGATCATTTGTGAAGTTCTTTTTCTCATTTTAATTTTTTTTTTATTTTTCAAGTGTCAATTTACAGTATCTGGTTTTATGACAAGAATGACTGTCACCGCATAGCCAAACTCATGGCCAAGTAAGTATCCACCTTTTAATTCCATAGTTGTCTGACTAATCAATGAGACATGAATGTTTTCCCTGTTGTCCCTTTCTTCCTGGAAGGTGCTTTGGGCCATGGTTCTGTTTCCAGCAGGTTTGTTTGGGAGTTGGTGGCTTCAGCTCGAAGTGCTTCATGTTTCTGTGTTGCGGACCCCTGGGGGCGGGGGGGTTACTGTTGGACCCCTTCTCAGAGCAGGGTTTTTAAATGTACATAGTAGAGGATTACAAAGGAAATCAGTTGTATTGAAGTAAAATTATCAACACATTTTGTAAAGAAAAAGAAAAAAAAAAACCAAGTCCATGGACTCCAGGTTAAGAACCCTAGCCCTGGAAACTCTTACAAAATGACGGTCAGCTTCTTCTTCTTTTTCTTCTTCTTCGGCAGTTGGGGTTAAGTGACTTGCCCAGGGTCACACAGCTAGTAAGTGTCAAGCATTTGGTCTGAGGCCGGATTTGAACTCAGGTCCTCTTGACTTCAGGGCCGGTGCTCTATCCACTGCGCGACCTCGCAGCCTCCATAAAGACACATTTTAACTGACAGTAATCATGACGCTGGCTGGCATTTACCGAACACTTAAATGATCTCCTTTTGTTCTCACAACTAGCCTGTGAGGTCAACACTCCTGGACTTTTTCTCTTTGCCTTGTGGCTAAAATGAATCTGAGTCCTGGGTCCCAGGAACTGAAGGAGTGGAGTTGGTTGCTTACTTCCTGGGCACAGGCCTCTGGGTCAGACCTGTTCTCCACCTCCCCATCCCCTTCTCCTCTGGGGATCTTGCTCCCCGCCCAGCTGTGGCTATCTGCTGAGATCTGTCTTCCCCACCCCCAATTCTCGATGACTTAATTAATTAGTGCATTAATTAATGTTAATTAATTAACACATTAATGCATGAATGACAGGCACCATCTCATTCCCAAAGTTATTTGCATTTTAAAAAGTGACTTTTTGTAAGGGGATGGCAGGTTTCTTGCTTAAGAGACCCAGATGAAAAGTGCACACAAAAAGCCCCGTGCTCTAGAGGGACCCATCAGCTGCTGGCTTCCCCGGCCCTGCCCCTGCCACTAGTCAGCACGTCAGAGGTGGTTTATTTGAAAGATGGGAGATAGCTCCTCCTTGTCACTGCTTCCTCTCCTGTCCCCCGAAGAGCACGGGCATCCTTGCTTCCTGGCTGTCTGCTGAGATTGTGAGCCACTGCAGAGCGACTGCCTTTAATGCCACAATGGGCCACTTCCTTTTCTCCATCATTTGTTTTCTGACTCGGGTTCTTTATAGGTTTGATATAGTACTTTATCAGTAACAATAAATGCTAGCCTCTATGGCACTTTGAAGGTTTGTAAAACACATTACATCTATTTTCTCATTTGATCCTGACAACAGCTATATGTCGATACTATTATTATCCCCGTTTTACAGATGAGATAACTGAGCCTGAGGAAGGCTAAGTAAGTGATTCACCTAGGGCCATGCAGCTAGTCAGTGTCTGAGGTAGATTCAAACTCCTAACTAAGGAGTAACACTGATTCCCAGTGAACTGACCCTTTTCTCGTTTGCTGCATCCTCAAGCTAAAGTTCTATGAGATGGTTCTGATCCAGGTTCTCTGCCCGCTCCTCCCCCCAAGCGGAGTTTCCTGCCCCATACTCCTCGTTTGCAAGTAATAGTAAATATATGCAGAGTTCAAAGAGGTCATGGAGCCTGCCAAGGACCTACTGGTAGTAAAGGCCCTCACGCGTCCTCTAGGTTATATCTTGTAGCAAATAAGCACGCTGATGATTTTCTATCCGCCATGCCTCAGGAAGCCCCTTAGCCAGCCCAGTATACCTCAGTCATTCCACTCTGTCCATCCAACTCTGCAGACTGCTCATTGGGCCAGAATCACATGGTGATATGGTGAGAACCCATGTGCATCTCCAACTGAATATGGCTCAGACTTATCCCAGAGTTTGAAATCCTTCTCTGTCCTTCCATCTGGCTCTTCAGCTGCAGGAGTGTTAGTCAGCAGGGAGGAGTTCCCCCGGGAGATTGATGTGGGCCTAGAGAAGGGACCTGGCCTGGCCAGGCAGCCTCGTCTGGATGTCAGCAGGAGCAAGAGTCCTCTTACTATTCGGAGGACACTGAGAGCTTTTAGACTTCGCTTTGCTTGAAATGTCCATGACTGCTGTCAGGGGTTGGGGTATAACCCAGATGCTACCCACCTCTTTTTTTTTTCTTTCTGGAAAACTTTTTTCTCCATTGGATTCTGTGCAAGCCTACTGATGTTGGGTACTGAGTCATTCTGCTGAGCAACCAGGGTGGGGGGGGGTGGGGGGGTGTTATTGCTTGTTATTTAGTTTACTGCAGAGTGTTCCACATTTCCCCCTTCATCTCCATTGATCCTGTCTAAATTCAGGATTATTGCTGCCAGTGCACATTGTTTGATTTGCTTTCAGATCCTTCTGGTGAAAAGATTACACATAAGTGGAAAGTTTTACATGTGTGTTTACTGCTTACTCCTTAAAAAAATAGCATACATGTCAATTCTGTGTTTATAGCTTACCAAATGTGAAATGGGTTTGCATCGTTCTAAATGTATTGGCTAGTTAGACTTGTCTCCTTCCAAGGTTTGTGCCTCCAAGATGTTCTTAGGGCAGATTATATAGCTGGCAAACACTTTTAAATTCTTATTTTTAGAGTGGTGGAGCAGGAAACCCAAAGGTGCCAGCAGGCTGCTAGTGACAGGCAGAGCCCCAGCCGAGCCAATGGACACCGGGAAAAGAGACCCATGGACATCCTGGAGATGCTGAGTAAAGCCAAGGACGAGTATGAGCGTGTAAGTTCTGGGCTGGGTGGACTTGGAAAGAGAAGAAAGGCAAAAAAGAGCCAAGGGGCTGCTGGGGGTTTTATTCGCAACATAAGTGTTTCTCCATATACAGATGTTCTCTTCACTGAAAATAATACATTCTTTTCCTCAAATGAATTATAACACCCCCCATAACCAGTGTCTTGTTTATTATTTTTAAGCCGTTGTTTTGTGCCAATAAGAAAGTTTTGTGGTGTGCACAGCAGACTTCTGAAATTTTTATCTTTTGGATTTTAAGACACAACAGTAATAATTTGCCTTTAAGAAAAACTGTAATTGGCATCTACCATTACTTGCCACCAATGGTAGTAGCTTAAAGATCCTTGGGATTTAAAATTGTTTATTCAAAGAACATTTTAAAACTTCTAACTATTTTAAAAGCTACAACTGTAAGTCCTTTTGTGACCCATGCAGTAGAGACCATGGGTGATGACAATGGGAAACTTGACATTTTTCTGAATGATGATTGGCACGCATGGGAGGGAATCGTCTCCTGCGTGCTCAGGAGCTTTGTGCTTGTTAACATAACAGCTGGCATCTCCGCAGCCCCCAGAGCCTTGAAAAGTGCTTCACATGTTTGATCTTTTGATCTTCACAAGAGTCCTGTGAGATCGGTGCTCTCTTTATCCCAGTTTCACCAACATGGAAACTCAGAGAAGGAACTTGGCAGCTAATAAAGGTCTGAGGCTGGATCTGAATTCTTTTCTTCCTGGTGCCACGTGGCTCTAACCACTGGATAACCTGGCCAGACAAAGGACTGTGGGCCTCTTCATGCCCTCCGCCGTTGTCCCCAGCCCCTAGTCCTATGTGAGGGTTACTCTTGGGGGCCTGGGAGAGTCCTTCAGTAGCGGGCAGTTGTGTCTGATGGCTGGCTTTGGCTTTGGGGAAGTGCTGCTGGTTTGCATCCCACTGTGATAACAATTAAAGGCTTTGCAGCTTCAAGTGGAATTGGAATTAAACCCAGAGACTCATTTCTGGAGTGGAATGTAGCGTTCTCCCTTTGTCCCTTTCTCCGTTGTGCCGTGAGTTAACTGAGCTTTCCTGCACGTTGAAAAGTGTAAAGAACATTTTTTAGGATGGTAGTTTTCCAAATTTAAGGGCCCATGTCACATGCCGGAACACCAAAGCCCTTGGTTTTGTTGAAACACAACCTAAAGGTAATGGTGTAGGAACATTGCCTCAGTTTGTTCCCAGAAGCCTCGAGTATGAGGCAGAGCAGGCCTGAGACCCATCCCTCAGCTGGCTTGTTCTCCCAGAGGCACGGCTCGGACCTGTGTTCAGGTCTGAGATTCCAGAGATTCCAGGAGATTCTCTCCACTCAACCTCCGGTGGGAGTTTTAACCCTGGATGACAGCTTCCATCTCCCTCTGGCAGCAGTAACGTTGCTCCATCAAGTTGGAAATACTTGGAAAGTTGTGTGATTTCCTCAGGGGCTCAGCTCCCTTAACCAGTGTGGTCTGCAGCCTGTCTGTGTTTCACGAGTTACTAGGGCCCAAAAAGTCGTCATCTAGATGATTCAGTGATCACCCTCAGTGAGCTGAGCCTCAAGTGTCAGGCATCCAGGTCATCAGGAGGCCTGTTCTTAAGGCTTTATTTACTTGGGAAGGCCTGCGAGCACTTGCGCTTCGCCGTTGTCACTTCCTGTAACTTGAGGCTCAGCCGGGCATGGGTGACACCGTGTGTATGCCCTGGCAAGAACTAATGTTGAACCGTGGAGCTGACCTTGGCTGGTTCATAGAGTTTGATAAGCAAACAACAGCAAAAGAAAGGCCTTTGGTTTTAGCCTACGAAATTATCTTCAGAGTCTCCCTGAGACAGTTCAGATGGAAGCGATTCAGTTTTTGGCATGGTGCTGGGAGGTTTCACAAGCATACAGCAATGAGGTCGGCACAGTGGCTCTGTAGACCTTCGTTTGGGAGGCAGTCTAATACCTCTTCTCTCCCACACTTTCCTTTGGAGCCTCTCAAATGCTGAGCTAGCCTGGCAATGCGTACATCAACCTCATCCCTTATGTGTCTGTCCCTGGAAAGTATACTGCCTGGGTAAGTGAACTTATTATCTACAGCATTCAGACTCTCTCCATTTGCTGTAACTGATGGTTCCACATATGGGTGGCTGTGGTGCTGGCTGGTGGAGAACCTGTGTTTGCTTGATATTAATTGTCAGGCCAGAGTTAGCACAAGCAACAGAGAATCGATCTGTACCTAGTCTGTTCCATTTCAGCCTCAGAGACTGCGTTAGGTGTGCAGTCATCTGCAGCAAGATAAGGCACCAGACACCGAGGTCCTCTCTCAAGGTGAACTGCCAAGCATTCAGACTCAGCTGCAGAGAACGCAATCCCAGTAGACCAACCAAATAGCCCAAGTGCCAAACACACGATTACCTAAGAGACTGTTTTATGGAGAACCCACACAGAGGTCAGAGGTGGTGCAGGGACACCCTCAAGGTCTCTCCGAAGAACTTTGCAATCATCGGGAGATGTGGGAGATGCCGGGACAGCACCCCCCTGCGTGGCATGCCTACGTCACAGAAGGCTCAGCACTCTGAGCAGGGCAGACTCGGTAACAAAAAGGAGGTGTGTGGTGCACAGATCTAGAGACAGACTCTTTGTGCCCAATGTGTGTCCGAGCCTTCCAAGCTCGTGCTGGACTGAGCAGCCACTGTGACGCGCTGCGCCGCGACCCTGACATCGGGGGGTCATTGCTCTTCCCCAAGTAAGAAGGAGGAACGGTAGCTGAATTATACACATCTGTAAAGAAAACCATGAGCCTTTTCCTTCTGGGAGCTATCATTCTGGAAAAAATGAGAAGTGTCTGGTCTAAGGAAAATTGCCCCCAAAATGTGACCTGCATGAAAGATTTCCTAGGGTTATGGTAAAACAAAACCCTGAGAGGATTGGTTGAATCTAACATTTACTTAATAATGTTGTACTCCAAAAGCATTTAAAGCAGTTCTTTCTGTGGTGGCCAAAAATCGGAGATTGAGGGGATGCCCATCCATTGGGGAATGGCCGGACGAGTCATGGTATCTGAATGGAATGTAATACTAGTGTGCTATAAGAAACGAGGAGCAGGCAGACTTCAGAAAAACCTGGAAAGACTGTTTTTACATGTAATTAGTAGGGGGGATAAAATTTTTTTTAAAAAGCTAAATAAATGGCTTTCTTGTGTGCCCCTCTCCCAAAAAAAGGTGTATTCCTAATTTTTGAAACCACTTCTCCTATTTAATAGTAGAATAAACATCACCTCTTTGAAGGAGAGTTGTCCTTGTCAGAGTAGACTTGTCATCTTGATTAGTGCTATAACGCACAAAGGTAGTGGTGCCGCCAGAATCTGTGTTTTTGCATTGAATAGAAAAACCTTTCTCTGCCCATGACATTCTGGGGGTTCCCCTCCTGCCCAGAGGAGACAGACAGTGAGTCTGTCTACTTGGAGAGAGGATAAGGAGGAAGGTTTATAAAAGCCATGGTACTATGATCGCATCTAGGGTTCTAAAGGAGTTTAATTCCTCAGATAGCACGTCACATCTGTGTGAGGAAATTAGTAAACATTCGGACTTCAAATGAATTGGATATGCCATCTAAAAAGATCCTTTACGCTCTTGCCTGTCTGTTTTAATACCTTGTATTTTGTTGGCTAGTTTGTCCTGTCCGTCAGGGATATGGGCCTTAGCATCTCTACCCTTTATAGTGCCCCACCTTGTAATTCCTTCCTGAACATGTGTGTCAGCCTAATCTGCAGACACGCACATGTTCGGTTATGCGGACAGAAAAATCACACTTTCTTGCTTCACCAATGTCTGCTTGAGCCCCTGCCGCTGTTGAACCTCATAGTAATTGATGATATATTTGTACAGGAGCAAGAAGAGGGATAGCTGGCTTCTTTCTGGATTTTTCTCCCCAGAATAAGCACTGTGATCTCGAGGCCACTTTGAGTTTTAAATAGTTGTGCCAACAGACAGCATAAGCTCTGGAAGGTCATTCCAAACTGAGGAGGCTTCGAGTATAAGCCTAGTGATTGACAGTGTATCTCTCACCCCAAGCCCAGCCTCCCCAGGTTGGAAGCCCCAGGGAAGAGAGCTGTGGGGCTGCGAGTAAGAGTAGGCATAGAAAGCTTGGGTTCCCTGTTGGTCACGGGAGTGCCCTCATGGATGAACTCTGCCATCCTTAGAGTATTAGAGCAGTCCCTTCTTCAAGACTGCCTCTGACGTTTTCCTATTAGAAGTCTAACACTTGTTTTCAGAGTTGTTTCTATTTGGAGAATGTGTCTCAAAAATGGACCCAGAAAGCTGAAAATAGATTCGATTTCTTTGTTAATAGTTTTCATCCCATTTCCAGTTGTTGCCCTTTAAAAATAAAGTTCTTTAAAAAGATTGTCAGATTACTGTCTTAGAGAGGGGGCAGGTGAGGGAGGGAGATAAAAAATTTGAAGCTCAAATTTTTTAGAAAATGAATGTTTAAAATTGTCTTTATATGTGACTGGGGAAAAAAATAAGTATTATTTAAAAAGATTGTCAGAACAAGTATGCTTTGGTCTTTAGCTTGTCTTTAACAGATATTTTTAAAACCCCATGTAAATTGGCTGTAACAAGTGGAGATGTGCTACTGATTTCTGGAAAGCTTTCTATTGAGTTACATTAACTTAAGTGTAATCATGGGTTTTTCCATTACTAGGAATAAAGAATAAAGGAGTAGAATAAATTATTGCTAAAATTTTATTTCCTAAAGCAAATCTTACAAAAGTTCCTAGAAATTATTACGTTAGCATACACAGAAATGGGCTTTTAAATTTTCTTCTTAATTAAATATAGCAGCTTTCTTATTCTCAGATTTGGAGAGCTCCTGTGGAGAACTGGGTCACCATACTTATAGAATGATTTTTTTTTTCCTTTTTCTTTTTTTAAAGAATCAAATTACAGACTCAACCATCTCAAGCCCTGGGTTACAACCAAGTGCTCGGCTCACAAACCCTGGCAGTGCTGAGGAGACATCGGAAGAGACATCCCCGGGATTACAAACACAGGAGAAGGTGTGTCTGCATGTTCTCCTGTGTTCAAATCCAGCCTTGGACAATTAGCTGTGTGTCACTTAAGCCTGATTGTTCCGCCCCATCCCCCAAATCAGACTCTGACAGGTAGGGGCTATTATCCCTAAGTCTTCAATGTGTGCATGGGCACACAGTTCTAAGTCCCCGACCCTCCCCCACATCAATTGGAAGGTCTCAGAAATGCTGCAAAAACAGAGTGTAGAGATGGGAGGCCCACCTAAGATCTCATTAGTGTTGAGACCTCCTAGGTGAGGAAACTCCTTCTACCAGTGAGGCTCGCCACTCACCTTGGCCCTAAGAGACTTAATGACTTCCTCCAGTGTGTGTCAGAGGGAAACTTGAACTCGGGGCTTCTGACACCTAGGCTACCTTTCTGCACCGCCATACTGCCTCTCACAGAAACAAGTGCTACTCCTAATTTCTATAGACTTTTAAATGGCGAGAAGCAGCATACTGTTGTGGATAGAGAGGCTGGCCTTAAAGCCAAGAAGATGTGAGTTCTAGTCACACACACACACACACACACACACACACACACACACACACCCCCAACATTCTGGCCCAGTGACCCTGGGAAGGTCCCTTAACACTCTGAGATCATGAGTTGTCGACCTGCCTTGCTGAAGGAGTTTCCAGGTGCAGCCCCTGCCCCTGTTCCTTGAGTCCTGCTTTAGAGCCCGACTAGCCGTTTTGGGTTTCCCTTGAGAGGTATGATTTTTAATAGATGAACAAGCTAAGAGGGCATCTCTCGATGGATTTCCTAAATGCTGTGCATCCTATAATTGTTTGGACTAGAGTGGAATAAAAGGATTTAATTGTTTAAAGTTCCGCATCACAGAGTCCAAACTAACAAAATCTCCTGGTGTGCTGATGGATGCTTGTCTGAAGCTATGTATGTCCCTCAGTTTCCTGTACTCTAACATCTCACATGTGTGATTGTAAAGTGTGTTTCTTTAGTGAAGACAAAACTTGAAATCATCTCTGCTGTGATGAGCAGACTAACCAGGCCCGAGTGTTTGTTTAGTCACCGCACCATCTAGTGGGGAAGAACAAGTAATGGTACGAGAAAACCACCAATCAGCTCCGTGATTTCCTCTGGAATTCCCTCCCTGTGGGACTGTTGTCCTAGCCTGGTGGGCAGGTGGAAAAATACTCATTCATGAGAGAAAGAAGAAAAAAGGGTGATTATGGTGAGAAGAAGGCTTGCTTTGTCTCGTGTCAAGTTGGTGCCTTTGGTGGAGACAATGAGGGTGTAACATTTAATTTTAAGAGACTAAATCCCCAGTGGAGCCATGGAATTCATCAAAGAGCAGTGTCATTCAGATGAGACAGGAACAGAGTGGTCAAGCTTGATGTTTACTTTTTCTTTAATCATTGGTCCAAATGGTTGACATTGTTATATATGAAACAGTTTCATAGTTTTTACATCCAATTTTGACTTTGCAACAATGGCTTCTTCCTCAAAATGACCTTCAAGTAGCACTTTGGTACTTCCAAAGACCCCCGATTCCAGTGATGCAGGTTATAGCCCCCATGCCTTTTGTAATTGGGGGGAAGGGGGATGTTTTTGCCTGGTTCACAAGTCATATGACTGGAGGCCAAGCTGGAGGTAAAAAGCCTATGCCGCCTTCCATGGCAGGGGCTAAGCCCAAGGCAGCGCGCTGTCCCCATGCCAGAGGTTCTCCATCTTGGCAGCAGGTGGCAGATTCTGCTCTGTTTCTGTAGCCTTCAGAGAACCAGTGCTGGATTGGGAGCGAAGGGCCAGGGGTTCGGATGCAGACCCTGCTGGTCACTCACTGCCTGGGCGGTTTGGAGCCCCTTCCGGGTCCAAATCTTAGGGTAGGAAGTTAGCTGCAAAGAAAGGGCCTGAGCAGAGCTCTTGGTCAACCTTCAGCTCTCCCAACCAGAGAAGGAAATGTCTTGATTCATTGGCCCCCCCTGGCAGTGCCTACAATCAGCCAGTCAGATGTTTCAACAACTGGAGTCAACTTTTAATTAGACAAAAATAGACTAGCTTCAATGTAGTTGGCCCAAGGGAAATATTACTTTAGTATTTGCTGACAGCCCTTCATGCGCTTCATAATTTGCCAGTTCAGCGGCTTTGTTGTGGAAGGGCCTGTGTCAAGAGGCTACAAAGGCCATAGGGAGCCGCTCCTGCCCACTGGGCGCTCACCTCCTATTAGAGGGATGGAGGGCATGTCACCGTCTACTGAGCAGAGACGAGGTCATGGGAGGTGGCAGCAGCAAGGATGGTCTCCTCCAGAGGAGATGAGATAAGGCAGTTCTGTTTTAAGTGGGAGGTCGGAGGCTGAGGCGGGGCTTCCACAAATCCATGGGGACAGGTGATGAAGTGCTGAGTTCCAGCAGCATCTAATGGGATGGTTGGGCAGTGTGAAGGGATTGAGAGAGAAGTCATGGGATGTAGAGAAGTTGGAGCCTCACTGACTAAGCTAAAGCTTTCATAGTTTATTCTCGGGCTGATAGGGAGCCACCGGAGGTTCTTAAGCAGGAATCACGGTGTCATAGATTTAGAGCTGGGAGAGACCTTAGTGGTCAGCTAGTTCCGCCCCTTTGCTTTACACATGGGGAAAGAGGCCCATGCAGGCCCAATCACAGTTATCTGGTGGCGGAGCCAGAATTTGAGCCCAGACTCTTTGATTGCAAATGCTAGGCTTGGACCATTGTTAGGCCTGAGGAAGATGGTTTTTTGTGGCAGCCGATGAGGAAGCTGTTCAAGTAGAGCAGGTGAGTGGCGACCACGAAGGTCTGTGACTGTCCAGCAGCTGAGTGACTGGAGGGAGGGGAGCGCATCAGAGAGCTTTCGAGGAGCTAGTAAAAGGCTTACTCTAACCCCTGCCCCTGCTGCTTGCCAGCCATGACTTGGGCAGTGTTCTGAGCCTCTATCTCCTTCCTTGTTTGTTAAAATGAGAGATTGGCGGGGGCAGTCTCGAGGATCCCTTCCAGTTCCAGATCTTTGAACCTGGGGATTTGGCAATAAGAAGTCATTTAGTGCAATGGGTAGAAAACACCGTTCTATAGGAACATGGGAAGTGAACTTTTGAAACATGACCCATTTGAAGATCAGGGACTGCCTGTCTTAAAAATCAGAAAAGTCAGTTACAGATGGAATCATGAAGGCCTTTTCTTTTGAAGAGCTTCCAGTAGTAAAGAAGGCAGTTCCTACAATGATAATATGGGAACTCTTCATTCTTAGCCTTAAAATTTTATCCAAATCAAGGCTTCTTATGGATCCTCAGTGACCTTTTGACCAAATCAGTTGAATGTTCTGGGTAAGGTGGCCTGTCCTAAAAGGCAGAGCTGGGGTTTGTTTCCTCATTATTGTTGGGCTCTCTGTTTAACTGCTGAGTACTTGAGTTATTTTTAAGTATATGGAGCAATTCATACTCTGTACACGTGTACTTGATGACCTCCCCTTGTTCAGGTGGTCTGCCCAGGTCTGGATCTTTTTAATAATCAACATTGCAGAGCTAGAATCCAGATCAGAATTTTTTTCACTTACATTTGTTTACTAAAATAAGTCTCTGTCAGTTCTGTGGTGGATGTAACAACCGCTGACATTGGTAAAGCACTCAAGCTTTGCAAGATTATTTGCATTATATCATCGGTTAACCCTATTGACTGATGGGGAAACTGAGCCTCAGACTTACCACAGACCACACGGCTATTGAATGTCCCAGGTCATGTTTGAACTCACAGCTTCTTAGATCCCAGGCCACCCTCTTCCCTCGATGCCAGCCACCTGTATTTCACAGGAGCAAAGTCTCCAAAATGGAACCCTAGTTATTAAAGCCCAGTTGTGCCATGGTTTCTCATGGACATGTTAAAGGCACCTTGCCTGGTGTCCCAAGAGCATCAGATGTTTTTAGGTTTTCTTGTTCTCAGGCTTCCTTTTTGCTTATGACGAAGACCACTCCTGAGACTGTTAAGTGCTGTAAGTCGGTGAGCAGTAGGAAAGCTGGTCACTTGGCCTGGTTCTCAGTGGTGTTCTTGTTTTGCAGCCTGCTCCATCGGGACACAAGCACCTCACAGTGGAAGAATTATTCGGAACCTCGTTGCCAAAGGAACAGCCAACAATCGTATATCCCAATTCGGAAGGAGCCGAGAAGTTGCCAGCTGACGCCTCCCCCAAAGAGTATGACTTATTCTCGCCATTTTCTTTTGAGTCATCAAGAGGAGCACATCAGCCAGAGAATCCCCTCGTCCAGCCCAGCAGCCCCAGCGTGGGGCAGCAGGAGGCTCCCGCCCCCCTGGCCCCACCTGACAGGAAGAGCTCGTCCAACTGCACAGTCCCCAGGAGCCCCATAGTGAAGGCAGCTCCAGCAGCTGAGGCCACCAGCTCCCCGACCGTGAAGAAGGCTCCCCAGCAGCGGTCTTCTCTTCTCACCCAGCCAGCGCCTGAAGTGAGACACAAGGCCCGGAATCTGATTGCTGCCCAGAGCCACTTAGTGGCCCCGCTGAGTGGGACGGGCCCAGGAGGCACTTCAGGCGCCAGCCTTCTGCACAAGCTCCAGCTGACCCCGCAGCCGGCGGCGCTCCCCAAGAACCCCATCGCACCCCACTTTGCCTCGTCGGCGAGCCAGCTCGCAACCCCTGAGAGCTTCAGAGAGCCTCACGCCAGAAGAAGAGGGGCCACAGCCACGCTCGGCGTTGCTGGGAGGCCTTCCCTGAAGGTAGGAGTCGGCTCAGAGTGAGTGCAGGCACTGAGATTTGGGCCTCAGAGCCCTCTCCCTGAGCAGTCTGTGGGAGTGGGAGCTTATTCCTGCATCCAGTTGGTTTTTAGGTCCTGAAGGGTCTTCCCTCTGAAGTTCAGTGCACGTAATTTCCACAAAGGAGGTGAGAGGCCAAAGTAAAAGATAATGGGTCATGGTAGGAGTCAGTCGGCTCCATTCAGTTGAATAGGCCGTTCCATCGGGGCACATGGTCACAGATTTAGAGAGGGAAGGGCGTTGGAGGGCATTGAGGCCAGCCACCCCCTTGTCCTGGCAAGGTGGATTGGCTTCAGTGCCAGAGGCAAAATCCACAGGGCATTTCATTCTCAGAGAGGTCCTGGCTGTCACGTTTATGACTTTGCAGGACCCAGAACTGCGATGCAAATGTCATCCATAATTATACCAAGCAGAAGGAGGAGCTACTGGAGAGAGTGGGACTGGAAAGGGTAGCTGCAGCCAGATGGCAGATCTGCTGATTTGGAGTCAAAAGGCCTGGGTTCAGATCCCACCTCTGCCACTAACCAGCCTTAAGCAAATCACCCGACCTTTAACGCCTTCATTTCCTGGTCTCTCCTGCCTCCCAAGGTGCTTGAGAAGCTAAATGAGGTCACATATGTAAAGTACTTGGTATGATGCGGGGACTGGAGAAGAGAGAGCCTGATTGGGGAAGGCCATTGCCGCAGTCTGGGTAATTGGTGACAATGCTTGAGTGTGGAGAACAGGAAAAGACAGGAGTGATAGCTTGGAAGGGAAGCATTCTGGGCAGGTATGGTGAGGGCACGTTTGGACTTCTGGTTTTGAGGTGTTGGCAGAGCATCAAGGTGAAGGGCATCCATTAGTGTTGAAAGTGGAGTGGGGCAGCGGCAGCTGGGTGGCGCAGTGGATAGAGCACCGGCCCTGGAGTCAGGAGGACCTGAGTTCAAATCCAGCCTCAGACCAAACACTTGACACTTACTAGCTGTGTGACCCTGAGCAAGACACTTAACCCCAACTGCCTAAAAGTTTTAAAAAAAAAAGAAAGAAAGAAAGAAAGAAAGGGTGTCCTGGAGCCCTGGGGAAGGCTGGGACTGGAAAGAGTGATTTGGGAGCTGGCCACATTGAGGTGATCGTGGAAGTCATGAGTTGGGAGGAAGAGGAGTCAGAGAAGGGACAGTTAGGTGGTGTAGTGGATAGAGCTCAAGCCTTGGGATTTGAACTCAGGTCCACCTGACTCCATCTCAGACACTTGACACTTACTAGCTGTGTGACCCTGAGCAAGTCACTTAACCATGATTGCCTCACCAAAAAGCCAAAAAAAAAAAAATAGGAGGAGAAAAAGGGAGAGGATCTTGTCACAAGAGTCAAAGGATCAGGAAAGGAGGCCGGTGCTATCCAGTGTTGCCGAAAGGGCGAGGAGGAGGAAGATTGCCACAAAGCCAAAGGGTTTGACTCTTGAACACTTTAGCCGTTGTGGAGAGAAGGGCTTCATTAGGAACAGCAGGAATGGAGACCAGAGAGTGTGGAGAGGAAGCCAAAGCCACCAGTGAAGCTAGAGGTGCCCCAGGGTAGATGGGAAGTATGGCCATATTTGTAGACAGATAAGAAGCCCAGAGAGAGGGAGGGAGGCCCTCCAGATGCATGAGTTGGGGTGTGGCTGGGGAGGATGATGGGACCCTGGATGAGATGGAACGAGGCCCAGGTCAAGCCCCGAGACTAGGGAGAAAGAGACGCTGAAGAGTTGAGAGGAGTGGCGCAGAGGGTGCCGGAGGTGAGCAGGGTCAGTGGTGAGAACAGCTGAGGCTGGGGACTGAGACGAGGCACAGGCATGCAGCGGGGGGCAATGCCTCAATGAGCAGCTCATGACATCCTGGCCCGTCCATTTGTAGGGTCTCAGAGAGCCCCGTCTTGTAGGTTGGGGTTATTTCAGGGTGCTGGTCAGCCCTGATTTTGTTTGCACGAGTGACTTCAGTTTCATGCTCTCTCAAGCTAGACAGTTAAGACAAAAAGAAGATACAAGAACCTACACATTCTGACAGTAGGAATCCAGAGAAAAGGAGACAAGTGAACCACTCGTCTGGAACCCAGCCTAGAAAACTGCAAGACCCAGGTTCCTGAAGCTCTAGTGTTAGCAGCTGATCCTTTTCTGCTTCATTTTTACCCCTGACTGGTGATAGGACCTTTTTAGGACAGGAGGAGATTGTGAGGACAGAGAGAGGCTCTCTGTCTCATGTGCTGCACCCCTGGGCAGGTGTAACATTGCACAGTCTCGTGGGCTCCTGGAAAGAAAGGTGTCTGTCTGACAAGGGCCAGCTGGAGAACAGTCGTCTTCCCTGCCCTAGATGGTGTAGCGTCAGTGGATTGGCCTTGCCCCTGGATCTCTGGTGGATCAGTTATTTGCTGTCTTCTACGGGAGCTTCCTTCCTGACAGAGGAGTTAGGTAGATGTATACTTCTGCCAAATTGTAGCCCTTGGAGTTTCTTAGTTTGGAGTTTTGTAAATAGCTCTTTGCTCTCCCATCAGCCACTGTCTTTAGCTCCATGGAAAACAGTGTGATTGTGTGTTGTTCTGATGGTCTGTGATGAAGACTGGTAACCCTCCCTACACGTAAAGAAACACTAGACCTGTTTGTAAAACAGGAGACGTCGTTGCCAGTTTGCCATGTCAGTGCAACTTAGTGGCAAAGTTTTCATGAGGTTCCTTGGCCCTCATGATTGTTATAGTTCTCGGAATATTGCAAGAAATTTGCAACTAAACTTTTCCCAGGGCCTTCTATTTAGCAGTTTAACTTTGTGGGTGACATTCTGGGTAGGATGTCACTAATTTCCTTTCTGAGGGCAGCTAAGTGGCGCAGTGGATAGAGCTCTGACCTTGGAGTCAGGAAGACCTGAGTTCAAATTCGGCCTCAGACACTTACTAGCTGTGTGACCCTGGGCAAGTCACTTAACCCCAATTGCCTCACCAAGAAAAAAAGAAAAAAGAAAAGAAACAAATTTCCTTTCTGTATCATTGGAATTCCACAAATCCTTAATATCCCAACTAGCCCTGATTTGTAACACATTTTCCACCAGGGAGTCTGGAGGTGGATCAGTAGTTGCCATGAACTCCAGCTTTAATTTCTGTTTAACAGAAATTTAATTTAATTTAGTTTCTGTGTAGTAAAATCGGGGCTGTGAAGTTGCTGCCTGCCCATGGTTTTCTCCAGGCACATCACAGTAAGCGTGTGGGCCTGCAGAACTAGCCATGTCTGGAGAGTATTGACGGTCTTTCTCCACCCGAGGTCTCTTTGGTTAGCGGGTGACCAAGGAGACATTTTGGCTGAGAGGATCCGAGTGTAAGCATCACCTCCTGACTCTTTGTCCTCCTTTGACCTCTTTTCCTCTTCTTCTCTTTTTCTTCCCTTACCTTCCTTCCTTTCTTTTCCAGCCTCATTGCTTGATAGGCAGCAGAAAGGCAAGATGGGACTACTGTTGCCCCGAAACACCTAGGATAGACAGGCAGCTGGGGGACTGTGGAAATGGCCCGGCCCCTGTGCTGTGTGTGGCCACGTGCCCTGGGCATTGTGGTTCTTGCTGACCAGGTGTTCCTATCTCCGGTGATGCCCAGGGCACCCAGCTGCCCCCATCTTACCTGAGCGTCGGCCTCTCGACACCACAAACTCACACTTGTCAAACTGAATGGACCGGAGATGTCTCAAACCCAGAGTGTCCCTGAAAGATCTCATCCTGCACTCCCTGCCAGCCTCCTGGCCTCCGCCCTCTGCTGCGCCCTTAGAGCAGATCAGCTGCCAGAGGCTGCTTTTCCTCCTTTCACATCCCTCTCACCTGTGACTCTCCCCCTCACTTGTACAGCCTCACCCCGCTTCCACAGTCCATCCTCTGCCCCACTGCCAAAGGGCTTTTTCTAGGCACAAATCAGTCCCCTATGTGTTCAGCATCAACTGCTTTGTGTTAATTCCTGATGTGGAAGGGCAGTTCCTTCTCGGTCCTTGTATCCCCAGTGCTAGGCATACAGTAGGCACTTAATAAATGCTTGTTGCTTGCTTATTTGAATCCTCCCTCTCCTTCCAGGCTTGGCTCGGGCACCACCCAGGCCTTCATGAAGCCTGGCCCAGATCCCCTCAGCCAAAAGTGATCCCTCCCTCCTCATGTTTCCTCAGAGCACTTGGCCTCCCTCTCCTACGTTCTCATCCTGTTGGATTGTGTGTGGGGCACGTTTGTGCAGCTCTCATCCATCCCTCAGCTGAGGGGAGGACCCATATCCACAAGGCCTGGCACAGTGCCTCGTTCAGAGTGGGCCGAGTGGTGAAGGGCCTTTGGATTGTGGGACCGAGTCTATGCTGTTCTTTGTCGTTATCTGAATCTCTGAAACAGGAGATTCAGTGGATGGAACACTGGGCCTAGAGTCAAGAGGACCTGAGTTCAGATCTGCCCTCAACATTTACTAGCTCGGGGCAAGTCTCTGTTTGCCTCCGTTTCCTCATCTGTAAAATGGGGATAATAACAGCACCTACCTCACAGGGTGGTTATGAGAAATAAATCAGAGAATATTTTTAAGTACTTTGCAAACCACAAAGCACTGTATGAAGGGCTAGCTATTATTATCGTTAATTTCTCATAGGACAGTCTCATAGTGCTCTTAATTACATTGTGTAGCTTATTTCAGTTCAAGATGATTGAATCTCAGGATCTTGTAACGACTCTAAGATCATTCCAGTGGTGAAAATATTTTTTTCATCCTTTGTTGATAATGGAGAATTTAATAAACTGGAAAGCATTTTTTCAGACTCCTCCACCAAATGTATATTCGTGAAGCATGTGGTTTTCAGATTTTATTTTCTCCTAATTCCTTCCCGGTCTTACAGCTTATGTTCCTTAGAATTTGTTTCCTTTCTGCCTAATGTCTCCTTCACTAACTGCTCTCTTACCGCCTTTTTCTGATGGCAGGTTTCCTCGCCCAAATTCATTACGTCAACGACGTCGGCGTCTTCTTCCGTCCTTTTGTCGCCCAGTGTTTTCCAGCAGTCCGTGACAAAACCCCCAGAGCTAGAGAAGAAAGCCAGTCCCCCTTCTCGATCAGGCGGGGCCTCAGAACATCCAACAAAACCTCCTTTGGTTCTCAGCCGGTCTCAGCTCCAGGACACATTAATACATCTAATCAAGGTAATGGCTTGCAATTCACTTTTCACTTTTTGGGGGGGGGGGGGGGTGGTAATTCACAAGGTAATTCACTTTTCAATAGAAGGAATTTGGGGTTTTGCATCTTCTCAGGGAGGCCAGGGTCAGCTGACCAATGCTCCCTTCTTCCCCACAGTTATTGGTCCAATTCTGTTTGCTTTCAAAATAGATTCCAGCCTAATCGAACTTGTACACCTGTGTCCAGGCCCCGGTTTCTAAAGCGGCGCTCATGGGCAGGTGCTGCTGCAGGCGGACCCACACACACACACACACACACCCCCGCACCGGTCACTGAGTCAGCCTGAGCTGAGCTTGGCTTGGGCTGCAGGCCTACTGTGCGGTGTCCATCACCAGCCTCTGCCCTCAGCCTGGGAGGTGGCAGCCAGCAGGGCAGGAGTGGAGGACTGGCTCCAGAGCAGGGAGCAGGCCAAGTCAGTGCATCCCACCTGAGGTTTCCTGGCACAGCTGTGGGTTAACAGGATGCTTATGCTGTTGGTGCCAGAGAACCTCAGTTTTTCTCATGGAATTAGGCTTGGGTGTCACGGAGCCAGGCTGCAGCTGAGGCACAAATGTGGCTGGTGTGAGCCCCCTCGCCTGAGGGCTGAGAATGGGGCAAGAACCAACTCATACATCCATGCCAAGCGTCCTTCCTCTTTGTTTTCACAGCCGAGTTCTTTTTAGGAAGGCAGCGGGGTCAGCATCTTCTCTGCCACCTGGGGTCTTGGAGCGTGGCCTCAGGCCTTGCCCAGGATTACCCAGGCAGCAGGCGTCCAAGGCAATACCTTTGTTGAGACACCTGTTGGTGGTCTTTGTTACACATTCTTGGTTTGTATGTTGTGTTTTCTGAGCTCATACTTGGTGTCAGTCAGATCTAAAGTAGGTTTCACCATGTTGCCAGTTACCAGAGCCGTGTGTTTCCCTCTCTCTCCCCCACAGAATGATGCCAGCTTTCTCAGCACACTTCACGAAGTCTATTTGCAAGTCCTGACCAAGAACATAAATAACCTGCAGCTCTAGTGACCTGAGCTAAAGCCACCGGGCACTCTGTGTGAGGGGGTGGATGTCTGCTCAGTAACAAATACGCCTCATTAATGGAACTGGTATGAGAGGTTTCATTTTTAAAGAAACAATGCTTAGTCTGGAAAGTCCTGAAATTGAGCCTATGAGAGAGAGAAAGAGAGAGACTTGTTCTTAAAGAATGTTTTAAGGTTATATTCTCAGAAATGATGGAGATTTCACTGTGAAGCATCACCAGCAACCCTTTATTGTAGTGGGAAAAAAAAGACCATTTATGAAAAATTGCATGGGCCTTGTCATCAGCGTCAAGCATGTGTGGTCCACCAGGATGGAGATGTGTGACCTCCCCCAGTTCAGAAGACACACGGGGCAGGGAGTGGAACTGGGAAGTGAAGTGCTCATCCCAGGGACCTCATGCAGTGCTCCACCTTGCAAAGATCATTTGCTTCCAAAAGGGAGCCGCCTTTAGCCCCCTCGTCCTGAGATTTGACCTACCAGTGAAATTCGGATAAGATGGAAATTTTGTAACGCAGAATGGTTTCCAGTTTGTCTGTCCCACCTAAGCTGAAGACGTATTTATGACTCTTGTTCAACTGCAGGTTATGGGATAAGAATGGTGTCACTGGGCCTTAAGGTCCTGAAGTTTCATGGTAAAAATTTATTATTTTTTAATTGTTGTCCTAATACTGACCAGACCATAACGAATCTGGCTGCTGGTGTGAGAATTACCTTTTCTTTTTCATATTTTACTTAATTGGCCAATTGGCAAAGCCAAAATCCTGTTAGACTTAAAAACATTTTTTAACTGCCAGGTGGTTTTAAAGGAGATATCAAGTTTCTTTTTATACATGAAAACTACTACTAAGTGTATGTAACCTCATTGTCCTTTTCTATCTAAGCATGAGTTCACAACAATTTAGATCCCTCTTCTTAACTGTAAGGAAAAAACCAACCATTGGACCAATACAACATGACCCCTGGGGTCCGACTGTTCCTCACACCTTTGACTTAATAGGAATAAAGCTATGCAGGAAAGGGAACAGGGACACGCCCATCGCTTCATCTCTAGCGGATGAATGAAGTTCTGAGCTTGGCCGCTGGACTTGCTGCACCCGTGGGTGCCCTCCAGCCCAGGTATCAGGATGACATATAAAGGCACCTTGGTTGCTGCTCTCACTCCTTCGTGTGCTTTGTGTCTCTTCCCATAGGGCATGTGACCTTTTAATGTAGATTCCCATTTCTTTCAGCAATAGTCATTTTACAGTCGCCTTTGAAATCAAAGTGTCTTGGTTTACACGAGACGGTTCTTTTGTCGTTTGTAACCACGTAAGATGCCCGGCTCACTTTTCCGAGCACTGTCCTAGTGACTCTAGGGTGAGAAGCCCACCTGGTTCCGGCCGCCGTCCTGAAGACACGCTGTGGGTAACGCTGACAAACGGGATTGTTCTTAGGAACGAGCTTGTGAGCTTTCGAGGCAACTCAGTCATCGATTTTTCTGGCGGAGTTTTCTGTAGGTGACACATATTAAGTATATTAAATAACTTTAGCTTGGCCTTCGTTTCTCTGCATGAAAGGACTTGGTTTTATTGGCTTTGCTTTATTTAATGAGCTTCCGGCTTTGTCTGTCCTAGCTTCTGAGTCTTGCTGATGACCCTGGGCTGAATTCAGGGAGGGAGGCAAGGGAGAGTGCCCACTCTCACAGTACTTTGCCTTCCAAGATAGTGTATACATTTGACAACCAAAAATAAATGATTTGGGTCAGCCAAGAAAAAGAGAACAAGAGAGCAAGTCTCAGGATCCCCGGGTCTGGTCCAGCAGAATGGGGTGCTTTGGTAAGTTGGGGGATGAGGGTCTGATCACAGTACAACCTGTGTCGTACTATCGGACTGATCAGCAAGCGGCTAGCGATTTGTAACAGGCCTAAAATAAAATGGGATTTGGAGCCCGTTGGAAAGGCAGAGAGAAATCTCTGGAGAGAACATCTCTGACAAGTTTCTGTGATTTGTTCCATACACTTACATCTTTTAAATAGCTAATCCAAGGAAACCAGGTTTCCTTCGTGTGAAACATTAAAATTTTAAGTGCCCAAGTTGTGGAGATTTTAAAAAGATGATTTAGTTTTAACCTCTATAATTACATATTAGAATTATTTATAACACATAAGCCAGGTCTACACTGCCATACTTCCTGAGGTAATTCAGGCAGGAGTCTCTGGATAGGGCAGGCCAACCTCTCTGGGTAGTGGCTGTTGGTCGACCCTGCTCAAAAGCTGCAGCTCAGTCGCCTTATTACTTCCTCCTCCTGAACTGTCCAGAACCTCGTACCGGCTTGGATCGCCCGTTTCCATTTTCAGCAGTGTCTGGGATAAATCCTCACAGGTTTAAAACCGAAGATTGAACTGAACGCTCCGAAGGCAAGTCTCACTCAGCCATGTCATCCTGGTCGAGCAGCTGCTGAGCTAGGGTCCGAGGTGTGTCCTGCTGTCTTGCCTTCTCCGGTGCAGTCACCTCCCCAGACCGATCACTCCCCTTTCCAGGGCATCTCCAACGAGCTTTGAGAACAAGAAAGCCTCCTTGGCCTTCGGGACAGACTCCCTGCCACACGGAGGGCTTCCCAGAGACTCATTACCATCGTCAACAGGGATGTATTGTTTTCACTAAAAGGAGCTGATTCGGATTTTACTTATTCTAAGAATGCAGAAGCCAAGTTAGAAAGAGTTCTTTCCAAACAAATTCTGTCTACCCAAGCACTTCATGTTCTTCTCTCCAGTGATATTTTTTAAAAAAGAAAGCAAGCCCCATTCATCTTTCTATCAAAAAGCTCTTTTTAAACCTGCTGCTTTATTTTTCTTTTCCCTAAAGACCCTAGTCCTGATTTTTTTCTTTTTTCATTTTACCTGCTGCAGATAGTGGCTTCTGTTCTGCAGCTCACAGGGAAGTGGGAGAGATGCAGGGGGCCTAAGGAAATAAAAGCCACCCACGAGAAGGGGACATTGGGAAAAGCTTTAGAACAGGGCCGGGGAAGCAGCTTACAGCCTGATTCAGATTGTTTCACTGAACAAAGAATGAATAATTGTCTTCTTGCACATTTGCTGCTGAGCAAACATTTGCTTTGTGTTGATATTTTATTATTCAAGGTTCCTTTGTGAAACCAATAATGCCGTTTGGATTAACATATTTAAATATTAAGGAAAGGTGACCGGCTTCAGACCTGGGGCCCAGATCCTGGCCTGATTTGTTTTTCCGCTTAATTTAGGAAAAATGTGTGCAATATATTTCACCTCCAGTTTGTGTTTGACGTCATCAAAGCTGTTAAGATGCGTTATTCATTTTTAAGTGAGGCAATGGCGTTTTCTTTTGGTCATTCTATTTGATTGGAAATGGTTTCTGTTTTTTGTGTGTTACTGTTTAATCTCTACTTCCCATTCTTACGACGTGCTGTTCCACACATCAAGCGTTCACGAACGTGACCTGTGTGCTTCCCTTCTTAGGAAGTGGACGTAAGAATCTCTGGAAATAGGTCTTTTCTTTTCAACATCAATACTGCATCACTAACTTTTTTTATTATATAAATTTTCTACCATCCATGTGTGTTCGCAAATATTAAGTTATTACATGTTTTAAACTGAGCGTTTTTCATCCTAAATTTTGTATGTTTGCGAGTATATTTTTTTAATAAAATTTCAAAACAAAGTTTTCTCACCTACAAAACTTTCAACTGCATTTTCCTTTCATTTATAGAAGTAGAAACATCCAGCTGCAAACCTTTGTTGCTAAGGTCACCGCCAGTTCTCTGCCACCCCTCCCCCAGCCCCGGCTAACCCAGCTCTTGGCCTCCCACCCTGTCATGATTGTTGATGTCTGCCCCTCAGCATCTGGGAACTACTTAAGAAAGGCATACTCTTCTCCCCGCAGTGGCTTGAAGTGAAGGGTCGCCCCACCCTGCATGCCCATGTGAAGAATTACATCTGGAAACCTTTCCACGTGGACCTGGTGCCAGAATGCATAGAGGCTGCCAGGCTCCTAACACTTCCCAGCAAGTGGGGCTACTTCTGCTGATCTCATTCAGGGCAGTGTGCGTGGTGGGCAGTGTTTTGTCGGTGATGTTTACCATTGCCTTCTTTCTCTGAACACAGCACTGTGCCAGGGTCCTGTGGGGAGCTGCCCGTGCACCCCTGCACATCCACGCGCACATGCGTGCACACGGTCAGAAAACAACATAAGACGCCCTGAGGCATTTAGAACTGCCGAATGTGGGGGGCCACGGGGTGGGTTGAAATGGCTTAAAGCGGTTTTCTCCTCACTGCTCTGTGAATCAGGTGGCCGAAGTCCTCGGTTCTGGATGAGAACTGGATCTGCCTGTGGTTGCACCCCTTCCAAATGCTAGAGCAACTTCTTTTGTCCGAGTCTGGCGTCATCGCCACGCCATGCCGACTCTGAACTGGCAGAGATACCAGGGCTGGGGGTTCTGAGGTTGGAGTTCCTTCAGGAATCTTCCTGTTCTGAGTACAGAAAACTTTTAAACCTATCCTTTATGGCAATCTTTAAATGAATGTGTGTGTTTGTGTGTGTATACGTATGTATATATTGTGTGTGTGTACATATACACACACGTGCATTTCCCTATCTTTTTACATTGTGAGCTCCTCAGGGGCAAGGCTTGTCTTTCGCCTCACTTTGTATCCCCAGTGCTTAGCACAGTGCCTGGCACATAAGATTGCGGATTGACTGACAATAGGCTCAGGTACATCATTGGCAATAATTGCTGTAATAATGATGCAATACAATAATAGCATCTTGTATTTCTCCATTACAACACCACTTTACAATTTGCCAAAGAACTTTCCCAGAATTATTTCATTTGATACCGAATGAGTATAAATTTAGCAAGAAAAATCCATTTTGTAACTTAGGAAACAGGGACTTTGAGGTTAAGAGACTTGGCCAAGGTCCTTCATGTGGCAGAGCAGAGACTAGAACCCAGGTCTGAGCACCTCAAGCCAAGACCCAAGTGCTTCCTTTACACAACAGGGAAACCACGGGATCTTGAGGTGTAGATACCCACTGGCTTTTACATTAAGTAGCCCCAGACCAAGCTGTGCTGTTCTAATCCTTACACAGCTGTCCACCTCCCCTTCACCCACACCTAATTTACTGCTCTGAATCTGTTGTGGGCTGAGAAGGTAAATAACAAAGCTACCGGACCTGTGGCCAAAATGAGGCAACAGCAAAATGGAGCAAGAGTCTGGCCCGCCACTCAATGACTCTATCGCTACTGGAATCCTTTCCATTATTGTATGTTGAAATCCTACCCTAGCTGAGGAGATGGTCTTCAAAAATGGCGATGACTGAAAAAGTAATCCCTTTCATTGCCAGCTTTTGTATCACCAGTGCTTAACGTGGTGCCTGGCATATAGTAGGTTCTTAATAAATGCTTGTTGATTGACAATTTAGCTAGGCTGCTCTTCCAAAGATGCATTCACTGCTGAGCTGGTATTCAGAGCCTCCCTGGCATACGTATAGAGCAGGCCTGCACAACCTGCTGCACGCCAGAGGACCTTTGTATGTGGAGGAAATCCTTTGGCGTGCGGCACGTGGCCCACAAGCCACAGGTTGTACAGGCCTGGTGTATAGAATCCCATGTCATCTCATCTCGGAAAAGCATCAGTGCAAGTTTCCTACTCTTCTCTTCCTCCTTCCTTCTCTCTCCACTCTCTCTCTCTCTCTCTCTCTCTCTCTCTCTCTCTCTCTCTCTCTCTTTCCCACACACACACACACACAGGATTGTGTACACTGAAGGAGCTAAAAGAACCGACACCAGAAAAAGGAGGGGAACCTACACATGAGGAATTAAAAAGATAAGCTAGGACAGCCTGGGAGAGAGAAATAAAATAACTAGATAAAGCTAGAAAGTTCAGGCAATTATCATGGCCAAACTGAACAGAATGGAAAATTATGTGGAGCCATTTGCAGAAGCCCCCCAGTAAAACAACCCACCCATGTACATCATTAATTTTCAAAACTGCAATGACAAAGGAAAGTATCCTTTAAGCTGCTAGAAGGAAGCATATTATTTAGAAAATTAAGATCTCAGAGGACTTCTCTACAAGAAGTTGGAAAATGACCGATGGTTTGAGTATCATCTCAAGTGACTCCCTAACATGGTGTAAGGCACTGTCCTGGGTCCTGGGAGTGTAGAGAATACAGTGATAAAGAAATGATGATCCCTGTCCTCAGAAAGTGCATTCTGTTAGTGGAGCTATCTCATGGACACAGATTAGGTAAGATATGATGGGCACAGAGGGGAGATCCAGACAAAGTGCTCTTGGTGCATCAGGAAGGTTTCACAAAGGAGGTATCACCTGAGTCGTGTAATGAGAAAAGGGAAACAGATAGTCCCAGTGTTGCAGGCGCGCCCATGAAATATCAAAAGATGACCTCCACATATTGGATCGATTTTCCATAGTGGACTGTCCACCCAGAGGGTCTGTGATCTTTTTTCCAGGGCCTATTTAATAGGTACGTTCCTATGGTGTGGGAGAATGGAAAAGGACAGATGAACTTCACTCACGTCCCTTGTTAGGGGTTTTATCACTATGTCGTATGGCGATAGCCTTCCCTAAGAAAAGAAGGGTTATGGAATGGACTTTGTAGAAATATGTGTTGTGGGAAATACATCTAATGTGAGATGTACCTTATGATTAAATTGGGTCGATTAAAATATATTATATTATAGCTGGCTCATAAAAGTCACAAGTGGTATTGATGCTATCCCTACAGTCCAATTTTATAAAAAGCATTGGGATAATCAAGGAAGTGATGCCATTTGTTAATGTGATATTAGAATCAATAGTATATTGATTTTGAATATATAATCGCCAATAATTTTTTGATCTTGCATTTTTCTTTTTTTTTTTGTATCTACCTATAATTTCTCAAACTCCTTCCACTGATGCAGACTGGCAATTCAACTGTAACATAATAGTCTTCAACAGTTACTTGGGCAAATTAAATCCCCAAACTTCTCAGTGTCACAGGTCTTCCTGCCTCTTACACCAAATAGCATAGTGATGAAATTTATCAAGAAAAAATTCATAGTCTTAGAAGAAATAGGTGTTAAAATATATACACAATGTAGTGGCTAGAGCATAAGATCTAGAGTCCAGAAGATTCTGTCTGCCTCAGTTTCCTCATCTGCAAAATGGGGTAATAATAGCACCTACCTCCCAAGGTTATTGGGATATTATTGCAAACTTTGAGATATTTTGCAAACCTTAATGTACTACATAAATCCTAGCTATTATTATTAGTCATGGATCAGTGTGAAATTAATAATTTAGGTAGAGCAAACAATTTTGACAAAAGAGCTGACTTCTGGTTTTTAAAAAACTATTTCTTGTGTGAAAAGATGTAGAGAAGCCATGGGTTCCCATGTAAACACCAATATGGGAAAGGAAACAGGTCCCTCAGGTCCTGGGCTCCATCATCAGAGGGACTGTGCCAGAGGCCTGAGACCATCTCATTGAGGCTTATTGGGATTGAAATCAACTCTGGAATGGAATCAACTCTGAACTGGAGGTTGTGCAAGGTGAACCCAAAGACTGACCAAGGCCAAAAGTTGCTGGGGACTGACCTCTAAGAGGCTGACGCAGAATCCAGAAATTGAGGCAGAGGATAGAACCTCATATTATCCACCCGATCTAACAGGGGCAGTGGCATCCAGACTAAAGAGGGGACAAGAACCAAAGTTTACCCAACACATCCAAGAATGCCAGAAAGTACTTGATCACTTATCTCCCAATCTAGAAACTGAGGCTAAAACTATGAGTAAACAGAAGAAAATGTCAAGCACAATAAATATGTAAGTGAAGAGAAAACCAAGGGATAAACCCAGAGAAATAGAGTAACTTCACAACAACTACAAACAAAGCTTGAGGGGAAGGTGGGGGGATGGAGGGGTGGGGAGAGGAGGCAGAGAAGAATATGGTGACTGGGACGCTCAGATAACAAACCCATAAGAAGAAAATTACTCCAAAATGTATACAAGCAAAACTTCAAATAAAAATATAAGTACAACCAGAAATTCCTGAAGAGATGAAACAAGAATTTTTAAAGTTTTAAAATTTTTTTTAAATGAAATGAAAGACCAAGATGGCAGAGCAGAGGAAGTACTACATACGAGCTCTCCCAACATTCCCCTCTAAACAAACGTAAGATAATGCCTCAAATTGAATTCTGGAGCAGCAGAGCCAACAGAAAGTCAGGGTGAACCCTTTTTCCAGACCAAAGAGACCTGTGGTAGATGGGGGCCAGCCTGAAGCCCATGTGGCAACACCAGTTATAGACCTTGGAGGTGGCTGGGACAGCAGCAACAACAGCAGCTTTGGGACATCTTGAGCCAGAGGCAGTGAGGGGATTGGCAACTGGTCACAAAGAGACTACATGGGACTACTGTACTAGCATTAGGCACAGGACCAGGCTCAGTTTGGAAACTCCATTGTCTGTGCCCACTTCCAGGTCACATTTCCTGGAAGGAGAGGAGTGCTTGCAGGCCCAAGGTAGCAGGGGCCCTGAGAACGGTATCAATTGTGATTGCAAGGGAGCACTGACCACACCTCTCGCACCCAAAACTTCCAAATCCTCAGAACTAGCTCCAAAAACAGCAATGTGAAAAAGGCTGAAGCTGTCCTCATTTCCTG